TATTGACCCGGCCTGCCTGACGACGCTTGCACTGTATGTACTGTCATCTGTGGTTGGTTGGTTTGCACTGTATGTACTGTCATCTGTGGTTGGTCGGTTGGTTTGCACTGCGTTTATGTTTGTATTGTTAGTGTTAATAAATTATATTGTTAATCAACTTATCTGAAGCCTGCGTTTCCCTGCGTCAGTCACATACCTCTGGTCATACCCAGGAGCCCTGACAGACACAGGGCGGGGCAATCCCCCCTCCCTGCATAATGACACAGGGCGGGGCAATCTACATTTAGTAACAAGAGACACACCAATAGACAGTCCCATCCTGAATGACACAGGGCTGCTGGAGACCTCCCCCCCCCACCAAGCCAATACACACAAACACATACAGCAAGACACACAATAGAACAATGGGATGCACCACATGACACCAAAAAATCCCCCCCACCACCCCCCCCCCCAATATTAGGACAGATCACTCTGTACCCCTGACAGGCACAGGGGGACTTACACATAAGAGGGATATGGGGAGCTGAGACAGGGGTCCCCCCCCTCTCCAAAGGGGGCTGTGTTCTATGGGCCCCCCACCCAAAGTGAGGTGTTCCATGGGCCCCCCACCAAAGTGAGCTGTGTTCCATGGGCCCCCCACCCAAAGTGAGCTGTGTTCCATGGGCCCCCCACCCAAAGTGGGCTGTGTTCCATGGGCCCCCCACCCAAAGTGGGCTGTGTTCCATGGGCCCCCCCACCCAAAGTGAGCTGTGTTCCATGGGCCCCCCACCCAAAGTCACTCCCGTCACATATCTCCCCTTTCGGCAGGAGACTAACGCAGGAGGAGACCCCAGAATGGATGGACTCTGAAGTTAGTCTGCACTTCCAGTCCCCCAATGCCGGCACCCACACAGGACCCCAAATAAATGGTCCCACACAAAGCATTCCTCACCCAGCCAACCTCTGCCTCTCCCGTAGAACATACCCGCCGCTGGGGAGAAGTACGGACTGGTCCTTCTCCCTGAAGTCCTCTCAGCCACTGGAGAGAAGACAGAGTGGCTGGGCCGGCTCCATCATGCTGTGGGGGATCTGGGCCGGCTCCATCATGCGGCGGGGGATCTGGGCCGGCTCCATCATGCGGTGGGCGATCTGGGCCGACTGCACAGCATCCCTGGGGTATCCAGGTGGTGGCTGTAGTCTCCTCCACTTTGACTTGATGGACACCCCCCAGTGTTTGCAAAGTACGGCTGACCTCCTCCTGTCCCAATGCCGGACCCTTTTCTGGGGTTGTGTCAGTGGAGACCGAAGTCCCATCCATGGATCAGCTCAAGCTGCCGTTGTGAGGTGCCGATTGCATCCTCTTCCTGTAGCTCCTGCGGTGCTGATTGTTGTGGGCAGAGGTCAACCACGCCATGCCCTGAGGCCAGCTCTTCTGCTGGAGGCTCGCCGGCTGGTTCCTCCTCAGCAGAGAAGTCTATCAGATCCCCAGTCTCTGGAACTGGTGTCTGGGGATCGGGGTTCACCATCTCCTGTCCGTCAGAAGATGTTACCAGTGCTGGGGGAGGCTAGCAGAGCTCTGCCCTTTTGTCAGCTCTTCAGGTTTGGGGACGGCAATCTCTGGAATTTCCACTGCTGATTCTTGGGCATGCTGCTGAACATGTTCTAGCAGTTGCCTGTATGCCCTTTCCAGATGCAGTTCTTTCATCGGCAGGTATTCCAGATCTGGTTCAAGCTCTGAGACCCCTGTGAGACGGAACATAGCCTCTCTGTCTTCTCGCAGGTCCTCCAGGGTAGGTTCTCCTTCATCACCAAACACAAAATGATCTGTAAGGCTCTCCCACAGCAATCCAGGGCCACCAAAGTCATGTCCCTCCGGAGAGCACTCTGTTGTCACCCCGAAATATTCCTGCTCTGCGTTCCATTGCAGAGCCCAATATCGGTTGTCCAGCTCTATCTCCTGCTGGACCAGCCTGTCCAACTCAGTCACCCATTGCTCCTGGGGTCGCTCTCCCAGGAATGGCATCCGTAACTTCCGATGGTCCCTGGCCCGTTCCCCTGGGGTTGGATAGAACTTGTCCTTGTCCATACCAGCAACCTGGAGGGCTCCTCTCCAAAGCACCTCCCAAATCCTCTGCCTGAGCTCCAGGTACTGATCCGTAGACACAGTCCTGGGGTATGGTGCAAGAACGGTCTGTAGCAGCTCCGGGAACTCTGATGCCAGGTCCATATCTCCACTGGGGTGACCGACGTCTCCTTTCCTGATCTTGAATCCCGGTGGTGGTTTGGACGTGTTCACAGCCAGGAAGCACAATCCCACCGCTGCCACCAATGTAACGGAACCGACCCCGACTGCACCAATGTAACGGAACCGACCCCGACTGCACCAATGTAACGGAACCGACCCAGACTGCACCAATGTAACGGAACCGACCCCGACTGCACCAATGTAACGGAACCGACCCCGACTGCACCAATGTAACGGAACCGACCCCAGACTGCACCAATGTAACGGAACCGACCCCGACTGCACCAATGTAACGGAACCGACCCCGACTGCACCAATGTAACGGAACCGACCCCGACTGCACCAATGTCACGGAACCGACCCCGACTGCACCAATGTAACTGAACCGGACCCCGACTGCACCAATGTAACGGAACCGGACCCAGACTGCACCAATGTAACGGAACCGACCCCGACTGCACCAATGTAACGGAACCGACCCCCGACTGCACCAATGTAACGGAACCGACCCCGACTGCACCAATGTAAGAGAACCGACCCCGACTGCACCAATGTAATGTAAACCGGACCCCAGACTGCACCAATGTAACGGAACCGACCTCGACTGCACCAATGTAACGGAACCGGACCCCGACTGCACCAATGTAACGGGAACCGACCAGACTGCACCAATGTAACGGAACCGACCAGACTGCACCAATGTAACGGAACCGACCAGACTGCACCAATGTAACGGAACCGACCCCGACTGCACCAATGTAACGGAACCGGACCCAGACCGCACTACGGGGTACTTCTGTTAGACTCCCCTTCCCTGTCCGAACACAGATCCCCGGACACCACCGCTGACCACACAGGAGGAGACGACACCAATCTGGAGTAAAACCAGGAAGTAGACTACTTTATTGGAACACAGATACAAGATATATACACTCAGGAGACAATCCCTCCTTCTGCATAATGACACAGGGCGGGGCAATCCCTCCTTCTGCATAATGACACAGGGCGGGGCAATCCCCCCTCCCGCATAATGACACAGGGCGGGGCAATCCCCCCTCCCGCATAATGACACAGGGCGGGGCAATCCCCCCTTCTGCATAATGACACAGGGTGGGGCAATCCCCCCTCCCGCATAATGACACAGGGCGGGGCAATCCCCCCTCCCGCATAATGACACAGGGCGGGCAATCTACATTTAGTAACAAGAGACACACCAGCAGACAGTCCCATCAGGAGGGAGGGCTGCTGGAGACACCCCCCACCAAGGCAATACACAAACACATACATCCCATAATAGTTTGCTCCCAAGCAAGACACACAATAGAACAATGGGATGCAACCACATGACACCAAACAATCCACAACCCCCCCCCCCAATATTGGGACAGATCCCCCTGTACCCCTAACAGGCACAGGGTGACTTACACATACGAGGGATATGGGGAGCTGAGACAGGGGGTCTCCCCACCTCTCCAAAGAGGGCTGTTTTCCATGGGCCCCCCCACCCAAAGAGGGTGGTGTGGGGAATGGGGAGGAGAGGTGGGGGTTGGGTAGGGGGGGTCTGAGGAAGTAGAGGGTGGTGTGGGGAATGGGGAGGAGATGTGGGAGGTGGGGGTTGGGTAGGGGGGTCTGGAGAAGTAGGAGGGTGGTGAAGGGAATGGGGAGGAGAGGTGGGAGGTGGGGGTTGGGTAGGGGGGTCTGAGGAAGTAGAGGGTGGTGAGGGAATGGGGAGGAGAGGTGGGAGGTGGGGGTTGGGTAGGGGGGTCTGAGGAAGTAGAGGGTGGTGTGGGGAATGGGGAGGAGATGTGGGAGGTGGGGGTTGGGTAGGGGGGTCTGGAGAAGTAGAGGGTGGTGAAGGGAATGGGGAGGAGAGGTGGGGGGTGGGGGGTTGGGTAGGGGGGTCTGAGGAAGTAGAGGGTGGTGAAGGGAATGGGGAGGAGAGGTGGGAGGTGGGGGTTGGGTAGGGGGGTCTGAGGAAGTAGAGGGTGGTGTGGGGAATGGGGAGGAGATGTGGGAGGTGTCGGTTGGGTAGGGGGGTCTAAGGAAGTAGAGGGTGGTGAAGGGAATGGGGAGGTAATGTGGGAGGTGGGGGTTGGGTAGGGAGGTCTGGAGAAGTAGAGGGTGGGGAATGAGGAGATGTAGGTGGGGGGGTCTAGAAAGACGGAGGGTGAGGATATTGTGGGGGGCTTTGGGGAGATGGGTGGTTTAGTGGGGTGTTCCCATCACATGACAGGACAAAGCTCAGGCCTCCTCTATGGAGATCTCACAATTTCGGAGTCAGATTGGAGATGAAGTTTATTTTCTGACGTGAATGATGAATGTGGAGTTGATGGTGGAGATAATGGCTGTCTGAGGCTTGTCATGACAACCACAAGTCTTCTCAGGGTTGTTGACCAGTGGTTCCTCACCTGATCCCTGCAGAGTCCTCCACCCAGGGTGGCCTCCAATCTACAGCAAGGTCAGGGCCAATGAGGGTGTCCCAGACTCCTCTCCTACGTGTTACCTCATTACCCCATCATTGATCACCATTACTACCACCTGGGATGGCTGGACAGTGATCAGCTGATGAAGATTTAATGTCTGGGTTCTCCCTGCTCTGTAGTCATGCATGATGCTATGTCCAGCAGAAGACACATGATCGTCGCATGTTCTTTATGTGTATCTGTGTAGGTGTTCACAAGATATGGAAAGTGCTACACGTTTAATTCCGGGAAGCCAGGCTTTTGAACTGCTGAACACGCTTAAGGGTGGAACTGGGAATGGACTGGAGCTGATGATGGACATACAGCAAGACGAGTACCTACCTGTGTTTGATGAGACAGGTAAGTGGCCAATCAACCTCCAAGTAAAAGGCCTGAACCAGTGTGATCACATGTCTGGAAAGGATGGAGGTGACCCCACTTTGTGTCTGTTAATGGAAGTCATTGTGTGTGGAGAGGTTGGAGGTGACCCCCTTGATTTTGTGTCTGTCCATGGAAGATATTGTCCAGTGTGGTCATGTGTCTGGAGAGGTTGGAGATGACCCCACTATGTGTCTGGAGAGGTTGGAGATGACCCCACTATGTGTCTGGAGAGGTTGGAGATGACCCCACTATGTGTCTGGAGAGGTTGGAGATGACCCCACTATGTGTCTGGAGAGGTTGGAGATGACCCCACTATGTGTCTGGAGAGGTTAAAGATGACCCCACTATGTGTCTGGAGAGGTTGGAGATGACCCCACTATGTGTCTGGAGAGGTTGCAGATGACCCCACTATGTGTCTGGAGAGGTTGCAGATGACCCCACTATGTGTCTGGAGAGGTTGGAGATGACCCCACTATGTGTCTGGAGAGGTTGGAGATGACCCCACTATGTGTCTGGAGAGGTTGGAGATGACCCCACTATGTGTCTGGAGAGGTTGCAGATGACCCCACTATGTGTCTGGAGAGGTTGCAGATGACCCCACTATGTGTCTGGAGAGGTTGCAGATGACCCCGCTATGTGTCTGGAGAGGTTGCAGATGACCCCGCTATGTGTCTGGAGAGGTTGCAGATGACCCCGCTATGTGTCTGGAGAGGTTGCAGATGACCCCGCTATGTGTCTGGAGAGGTTGCAGATGACCCCGCTATGTGTCTGGAGAGGTTGCAGATGGACCCCGCTATGTATCTGGAGAGGTTGGAGGTGACCCCGCTATGTGTCTGGAGAGGTTGGAGGTGACCCCGCTATGTGTCTGGAGAGGTTGGAGGTGACCCCGCTATGTGTCTGGAGAGGTTGGAGGTGACCCCGCTATGTGTCTGGAGAGGTTGGAGGTGACCCCGCTATGTGTCTGGAGAGGTTGGAGTGACCCCGCTATGTGTCTGGAGAGGTTGGAGGTGACCCCGCTATGTGTCTGGAGAGGTTGGAGGTGACCCCGCTATGTGTCTGGAGAGGTTGGAGGTGACCCCGCTATGTGTCTGGAGAGGTTGGAGGTGACCCCGCTATGTGTCTGGAGAGGTTGGAGGTGACCCCGCTATGTGTCTGGAGAGGTTGGAGATGACCCCGCTATGTGTCTGGAGAGGTTGGAGATGACCCCGCTATGTGTCTGGTGAGGTTGGAGATGACCCCCTATGTGTCTGGAGAGGTTGGAGATGACCCCACTATGTATCTGCCCATGGAAGTCATTGTGACCCAGTGTGGTCATGTGTCTGGTGAGGTTGGAGGTGACCCCGCTATGTGTCTGTCCATGGAAGTCATTGTCCAGTGTGGTCATGTGTCTGGAGGTTGGAGATGACCCCGCTATGTATCTGGAGAGGTTGGAGGTGACCCCGCTATGTATCTGGAGAGGTTGGAGGTGACCCCGCTATGTGTCTGGAGAGGTTGGAGGTGACCCCGCTATGTGTCTGGAGAGGTTGGAGGTGACCCCGCTATGTGTCTGGAGAGGTTGGAGGTGACCCCGCTATGTGTCTGGAGAGGCTGGAGGTGACCCCGCTATGTGTCTGGAGAGGCTGGAGGTGACCCCGCTATGTGTCTGGAGAGGCTGGAGGTGACCCCGCTATGTGTCTGGAGAGGCTGGAGGTGACCCCGCTATGTGTCTGGAGAGGTTGGAGGTGACCCCGCTATGTGTCTGTCCATGGAAGTCATTGTCCAGTGTGGTCATGTGTCTGGTGAGGTTGGATCCAATATATACAGTTGTGTTGAAAATAATATCCGTGTGATGATAAAAGTGAGTAAAGCTGCAAATCCTTCTAATCCTTTTCTTTCCATCCACACAAATGCATTGGGAACACGACACATTCTATTCCAAATCACAACATGAAGAAAAATACATCAAATTTGTGTTGTTCCTTTAAAAAAATGGAAGAAAAGTGAATATTAGACGGTTCAAAGAAATGGCCGTGTTTGTATTCTTCTTTCCAAACTCCAACATTCACTATATAAACTGAGAAATGTTTGAAGATTTTGCTTTCCTTTGAATGACTTCATGAATATTTGGTTGTAGTCGCACTGTTTCTGAGAACTGCTGTACATCTGTGTTGCATGGAGTCCCCCAACTTCTGGCCCCTGTGATCAGGTATTCCAGCCCAGGATGATTGGACCACATTCCACAGTTCTTCTCGATTTCTTGGTTTGGCCTCAGAAACGGCATTTTTGATGTCACCCCACAAGTTTTCTATTGGATGAAGATGCGGGGGTTGGGCTGGCCACTCCATAACGTCCATCTTGTTGGTCTGGAACCAAGATGTTGCCACGTTTACTGGTGTGTTTGGGGTCGTTGTCTTGTTGGAACCCCCATTTCAAGGGCATTTCCTCTTCAGCATAAGGCAGCATGACCTCTTCAAGTATTCTGATGGATTCAAACTGATCCATGATCCCTGGTATGCGATAAATAGGCCCAACACCGTAGTATGAGAAACATCCCCATATCATGATGCTTGCACCACCATGCTTCACGGTCTTCACAGTGTACTGTGGCTGAATTCAGTGTTTGGGGGTCATCTGACAAACTGTCTCCGCCCACTAGACCCAAAAAGAACAATCTTACTTCATCAGCCCACAAAATGTTGCCCCATTTCTCTTTAGGCCGGTCAATGTGCTCTTTGGCAGATTGTAACCTCTTCAGCACACGTCTTTTTCCCAACAGTGGGACTTTGCGGGGACTTCTTGCAGATAGCTTGGCTTCACATCGGCGTCTTCTAATTGTAACAGTCCTCACAGGGAACGTCACACCTTCTTTCATCTTCCTAGAGCTGATTGTTGGCTGAGTCCTCACAGGGAACGTCACACCTTCTTTCATCTTCCTGGAGCTGATTGTTGGCTGAGTCCTCACAGGGAACGTCACACCTTCTTTCATCTTCCTGGAGCTGATTGTTGGCTGAGTCCGCCCCATTTTGGCTATTCTTCTATCCATTCCAATGGTAGTTTTTCGCTTTTCTTCCGCGTCTTTCAGGTTTTGGTTGCCATTTTAAAGCATTTGCCATCATTTTAGCTGAGCAGCCGATCATTTTCTGCACTTCTTTATATGTTTCCCCCCTCCAATCAACTTTTTAATCAAGGTACGCTGTTCTTCTGAACAATGTCTGGAACGACCCATTTTCCTCAGAATTTCAGAGAGAAATGCACTGTAACCAGCATGTCCAACATTTGCTGCCTTCCTTCCTTAAATAAGGGCAATAATTGCCACCTGTTTATCAAAGAATGAATGACCTCACTAATAGAACTCCACACGGCTATTATTGTGAACACGCCCCTTTCAATGAGTGATTCAATGACACAGAAACAGCATGCATGTCATGACTGTCGGGTCTGTTGGATTTCTATGACTCTACTACAGCTGCTAGGAAATTATCTGCCATGTAGAAATATCATTTCCACCAAAAACAGGGATTGATCCGGTTAGTGATGTCTGACGGCTAGTATTTCCAACACAACTGTACCTGTCCATGTGATCTCTACTTGTGTGTGGTCATGTGTCTGCAGAGGGTGGAAGGGATTGGATTGTGCTCTCATATTCATGTCCGGGTTATTTAAAAAAAAAAAAAATCAGAAATTCTATAAGTTCTAAACCTCAAAGGATAAAAATCCACTTTATTTGCACCGAAATGCCTTTACAAACCCAGATATTACTTTGTAAAAGTAGTGGTGACATCATCTCTGTGCTGTACATGGCCTGTGCAGAGAGAGAGAGGGAGGGGCCTGGAAGGGGAGTTTGCAGCTTCTGACTTTCTATGGAATTGTAGTGTTGGGGTGACGGTGAACGTTGGGGTCGGGCTGATTGGAATTGGGGTGTGACTGTGAATGTTGGGGTCAGGTTGGTTGGAATTGGGGTGACTGTGAACGTTGGGGTCGGGCTGTTTGGAATTGTAGTGTTGGGGTGACTGTGAATGTTGGGGTCAGGCTGATTGGAATTGGGGGGGCTGATTGGTGTAGTGTTGGGGGGTGACTGTGAATGTTGGGGTCAGGCTGATTGGAATTGGGGTGACGGTGAACGTTGGGGTCGGGCTGATTGGAATTGTAGTGTTGGGGTGACTGTGAATGTTGGGGTCAGGCTGATTGGAATTGGGGGGTGACGGTGAACGTTGGGGTCGGGCTGATTGGAATTGGGGTGACGGTGAACGTTTGGGTCGGGCTGGTTGGAATTGGGGTGATGGTGAACGTTTGGGTCGGGCTGGTTGGAATTGGGGGGTGATGGTGAACGTTTGGGGTCGGGCTGGTTGGAATTGGGGTGATGGTGAACGTTGGGGTCAGGCTGGTTGGAATTGTAGTGTTGGGGTGACTGTGAACGTTGGGGTCAGGCTGATTGGAATTGGGGTGATGAACTTTGGGGTCAGGCTGGTTGGAATTGGGGTGACAGTGAACGTTGGGGTCGGGCTGATTGGAATTGGGGTGACGGTGAACGTTGGGGTCGGGTTGGTTGGAATTGGGGTGACGGTGAACGTTGGGGTCAGGCTGATGGGAATTGTAGTGTTGGGGTGACTGTGAACGTTGGGGTGACGGTGAAGGTTGGGGTCAGGCTGATGGGAATTGTAGTGTTGGGGTGACTGTGAACGTTGGGGGTCAGGCTGGTTGAATTGGGGTGACGGTGAACGTTGGGGTTGGGCTGGTTGGAATTGGGGTGACGGTGAACGTTGGGGTCGGGTTGGTTGGAATTGGGGTGACGGTGAACGTTGGGGTCAGGCTGATGGGAATTGTAGTGTTGGGGTGACTGTGAACGTTGGGGTGACGGGTGAAGGTTGGGGTCAGGCTGATGGGAATTGTAGTGTTGGGGTGACTGTGAACGTTGGGGTCAGGCTGGTTGGAATTGGGGTGACGGTGAACGTTGGGGTTGGGCTGGTTGGAATTGGGGTGACGGTGAACGTTGGGGTCGGGCTGGTTGGAATTGGGGTGACGGTGAACGTTGGGGTCGGGCTGATTGGAATTGGGGTGACGGTGAACGTTGGGGTCGGGCTGATTGGAATTGGGGTGACGGTGAACGTTGGGGTCGGGCTGGTTGGAATTGGGGTGACTGTGAATGTTGGGGTCAGGTTGGTTGGAATTGGGGTGACTGTGAACGTTGGGGTCGGGCTGATTGGAATTGGGGTGATGGTGAACGTTGGGGTCGGGCTGATTGGAATTGGGGTGACTGTGAACGTTGGGGTCGGGCTGGTTGGAATTGGGGTGATGGTGAATGTTGGGGTCGGGCTGGTTGGAATTGGGGTGATGGTGAACGTTGGGGTCGGGCTGGTTGGAATTGGGGTGATGGTGAACGTTGGGGTCGGGCTGGTTGGAATTGGGGTGATGGTGAATGTTGGGGTCAGGCTGGTTGGAATTGGGGTGACGGTGAACGTTAGGGTCGGGCTGGTTGGAATTGGGGTGACGGTGAACGTTGGGGTCGGGCTGGTTGGAATTGGGGTGACGGTGAATGTTGGGGTCGGGCTGGTTGGAATTGTAGTGTTGGGGTCAGGCTGGTTGGAATTGGGGTGATGGTGAACTTTGGGGTCAGGCTGGTTGGAATTGGGGGTGACAGTGAACGTTGGGGTCGGGCTGATTGGAATTGGGGTGACGGTGAACGTTGGGGTCGGGTTGGTTGGAATTGGGGTGACGGTGAATGTTGGGGTCGGGCTGATTGGAATTGGGGTGATGGTGAACGTTGGGGTCAGGCTGGTTGGAATTGGGGTGATGGTGAACGTTGGGGTCAGGCTGATTGGAATTGGGGGGGTGACGGTGAATGTTGGGGTCGGGCTGGTTGGAATTGGGGTGATGGTGAACGTTGGGGTCAGGCTGATGGGAATTGTTGGTGAGACTTGTGATTCCTCCTGACCAGCCGAGACGCCTCTGGAGGCCGGAGTGAAGGTCCAGATCCATAGCCAGGATGAGCCGCCATTTATAGACCAGCTGGGCTTCGGCATGGCCCCCGGATTCCAGACATTTGTCTCCTGTCAACAGCAGCAGGTACACGGCAAGAATACCCCCCAAATGGTGACCCCACCCCCCCCCCCCCCCCCATCCCCATCTGTCCTCGGTGTCACTACAATCTGTCCCTCATCACCCACTACATCCAGCTAGAGAGATCAATGTCCTCATCACCCATCACATCATACATGACCGCTGATCCCCATCACATCATACATGACCGCTGATCCCCATCACATCATACATGACCGCTGATCCCCATCACATCATACATGACCGCTGATCCCCATCACCCCAGAGGCGTAGCTAGGATATTTTGTGCCCGGGGGACCAAAACTATAGAATTGGCGCCCCAGCCCCCCTCCCCGTTTAATCACATCAGTGACACCACCGACGGGGCGCCATTCCTCCCACCGACACCAACGACACCAACGACACCTTGCTGACCCCTGCTCCAGCCTCGGCTCCTTCCCTCCCCCATCCACAGGCACACTTACCGGTCAGCTGTCTTCTTCACTTGCTCCGGCCGCTCCCTCACTCGATCTTCGGGCTGCCGCTTGGCTCCTCCTCTCCAAGCTCCGCCTCCTCACAGGTGATTGGCCGCCTGTGTGCCATTCCTGAGCTACAGTTTTGACGCCCAATGAGAAGGCCCACACATTATGTCCAGGGAAAAGAAGACACCGGACCTGCGGACCTCTCTCCCCTCCTCCAGCAGCGCCTCCTGGACTGGATCATCGTGGGACTGGGACACGGAGCCAGGTAAGACACAGCGGCCCGCTGCCCGCCCCGGTACTAAGAGTCCCTTCCATTGGAAGGAGGGGCGGTACCGCGCCGCCCCATAAAGTGCCACCCTAGGCAAACGCCTTGTGTGCCTCACAGCAAATACGCCCCATTGTAAGCCTCATTTTGGCGCCCGGGTACATATGTACCCCCCTGCCCCCCCCAGCTACGCCTGCGCTGCCCCTCCTGATTCCCCCTCGCCCGGCACGCCCTCCGCGATGCCCCTCGCCCGGCACGCCCTCCGCGATGCCCCTCGCCCGGCACATCATCCCCCTCGCCTGGCATGCCCTCCCCGATCCCCCTCGCCCGGCACGCCCTCCCCGATCCCCTGGCACACCCTCCGATGCCCCTGGCCCGGCACGCCCTCCGCGATCCCCCTCACCCGGCACATCATCCCCCTGGCCCGGCACGCCCTCCGCGATCCCCCTCACCCGGCACATCATCCCCCTCGCCTGGCATGCCCTACCCGATCCCCCTCGCCCGGCACGCCCTCCCCGATCCCCTGGCGCACCCTCCGCGATGCCCCTGGCCCGGCACGCCCTCCGCGATCCCCTTCACCCGGCATATCATCCCCCTCGGCCCGGCACGCCCTCCCCGATCCCCCTCGGCCCGGCACGCCCTCCCCGATCCCCCTCGGCCCGGCACGCCCTCCCCGATCCCCCTCGGCCCGGCACGCCCTCCCCGATCCCCCTCGGCCCGGCACGCCCTCCCCGATCCCCCTCGGCCCGGCACGCCCTCCCCGATCCCCCTCGGCCCGGCACGCCCTCCCGATCCCCCTCGGCCCGGCACGCCCTCCCCGATCCCCCTCGGCCCGGCACGCCCTCCCCGATCCCCCTCGGCCGGCACGCCCTCCCCGATCCCCCTCGGCCGGCACGCCCTCCCCGATCCCCCTCGGCCGGCACGTCCTCCATAATTAGACTTCATACCGCCGGATGGAGGATGTGTTGTTGCGCATCGTCCTCTCCCAGGCCTCGGTGATGTAGTCAGGAGCTCCTCGTACAAATGTTCGTCTCACTTCAGCCTCTTAAAGTACAAATTGGTTAAAGCCTCGGATACAGCCGACACGTTTCTGGGGTCAGGACTCCCCTTCATCAGGTCTGATGTCCCAAGAAACAATCAAAATAAATGTAACACATAATCTCAATTCACCCCAAAATAATGAACTCCGGGAGATGAAATGGATCCGATGGAAGAAGTAACTTTGTGTACGAGATCCGATCCAAGCGGATCCATAGACGGCTGACACGGGATTGTGTACAAGATCCGATCCAAGGGGATCCATAGACAGCTGACACGGGATTGTGTACGAGATTCGATCCAAGGGGATCCATAGACGGCTGACACGGGATTGTGTACGAGATCCGATCCAAGGGGATCCATAGACGGCTGACACGGGATTGTGTACCAGATCCGATCCAAGGGGATCCATAGACGGCTGACACGGGATTGTGTACGAGATCCGATCCAAGGGGATCCATAGACGGCTGACACGGGATTGTGTACCAGATCCGATCCAAGGGGATCCATAGACGGCTGACACGGGATTGTGTACCAGATCCGATCCAAGGGGATCCATAGACGGCTGACACGGGATTGTGTACGAGATCCGATCCAAGGGGATCCATAGACGGCTGACACGGGATTGTGTACCAGATCCGATCCAAGGGAATCCATAGACGGCTGACACGGGATTGTGTACGAGATCCGATCCAAGGGGATCCATAGACGGCTGACACGGGATTGTGTACCAGATCCGAAGCCAAGGGGATCCATAGACGGCTGACACGGGATTGTGTACCAGATCCGATCCAAGGGGATCCATAGACGGCTGACACGGGATTGTGTACCAGATCCGATCCAAGGGGATCCATAGACGGCTGACACGGGATTGTGTACCAGATCCGATCCAAGGGGATCCATAGACGGCTGACACGGGATTGTGTACGAGATCCGATCCAAGGGGATCCATAGACGGCTGACACGGGATTGTGTACGAGATCCGATCCAAGGGGATCCATAGACGGCTGACACGGGATTGTGTACCAGATCCGATCCAAGGGGATCCATAGACGGCTGACACGGGATTGTGTACCAGATCCGATCCAAGGGGATCCATAGACGGCTGACACGGGATTGTGTACCAGATCCGATCCAAGGGGATCCATAGACGGCTGACACGGGATTGTGTACCAGATCCGATCCAAGGGGATCCATAGACGGCTGACACGGGATTGTGTACCAGATCCGATCCAAGGGGATCCATAGACGGCTGACACGGGATTGTGTACCAGATCCGATCCAAGGGGATCCATAGACGGCTGACACGGGATTGTGTACTGAGGCCAGATACCGTTTACTGCTTCCCGAATCAGATCTCCTGACCTCCATAGATTGTATGATGTTCAGTGTTGGTCTCCTCTGACCAGAGCCCCTTCTTCCACGTTTGCTGTCCCCCCCTCCCCCCACATGGCTTCTCACAACCTGCAGACGGGACTTCTTCTGGCTTTCTTCCAACAATGGCTTCTTCTTGTCACTCTTCCATAAAGGCAGATTTGTGGACGACTAATAGTCCTCCTGAGGACAGATTCCCCCCCTGAGCTGTGATCTCTGCAGCTCCTCCACAGTTCCCATGAGCCTCTTGGCTGCTTCTCTGATGAATGTCCTCCTTGCCGGGCCGGTCAGTTTAGGTGGACGACCATGTCTTGGTAGGTTGGCAGTTGTGCCGTACTCCTCCCATGTTCGGATGATGGATTGAACACAGCGCTCCGTGAGATGGGCAAAGCTCGGGAGATTGCTTTATAACCTAACCCTGCTTTATACTTCTCCACAACTTTATCCCTGACCTGTCTGGTGTGTTCCTTGGCCTTCATGATGCTGATTGGTCACTAATGTTCTCTAACAAACCTCTGAGGGCTTCACAGAACAGCTGGATTTATCCTGAGATCACATGACACACAGGGGGGCTCTATGTACTAATGAGGGGACTTCTGAAGGCACTCGGTTCCACTAGATTGTAGTTATCAGAGTAAAGGGGGGCCGAATACAAATCCCACCACACTTCTCACAGATTTATTGGTCACAAATGTTGGAAACCATTTCTCATTTTCCTTCCACTTCACTATTATGTGCCACTTTGTGTCGGTCCATCACATCCAATCCCGATAAATACATTGACGGTTCTGGTGGTCACATGACAACATGGGGGACATTTTGGGGGGGGGGACCTTTTTTAAGGCACTGTACATTTTTAATTTTTTTTTTTGCCCTTTTATTGAAGTTTACATTTATTTCCACGTGTTGTTTTTGCATGTGAACCCCGAAGAAGGAAGGGCCCTATACCCTGAAAGGCGTTGGTTGGATCTGATGGTGGTAACCAATGAAGGATTCCTGGGTGAGACTAACATTTGTACTAAGCGTTCCTTTCCACGTTTCCGAGATTTGACCGTCTGTTGAGCGATTTGGTCCTTGTGGTAATCTGAGAGGTAGCAGCCTAGGACCTGACCCCGGCCTGTACACACCATACTGACACCACCGACTTCCCTCCTTCCAGGAGAAGGCACCCCACCACTTTATATACTCATCAGATCCAGCCCCTGATTCCATTGGTCCAGTTATTGTCACATGTCTACCTGAAATGAATCCGATTGGATTTGCTGCTGCTCTATGAAAGTAATGACTCTCTCTTTGGCCTGATTGTGCCTCAGCTGACGTATCTGCCTCCTCCATGGGGGGACTGTAAGAACACGCCGTTCAAGTCGCCCTACTTCCCCAGCTATAGCATAACGGCCTGCCGCATCGACTGCGAGACCCGCTACATCCTGGAAAAGTGCAAATGCCGCATGGTTCACATGCCAGGTGAGAGGATGGGTGTTGTCTGGGGCGTATTGGGGTGACCAGGGAAGCGTTTCCCTCTGATTCCTGACATCTTTCCTTCTCTGCAGGAAACGAGACGGTCTGCGACCCCGAGCAGTACTTGTATTGTGCTAACCAATATCTACAGGAAATAGGTGGGTACCGCCATCACCCCGAGGAAGAAAGACGAAGGCCATCATTATTCCCTGAGAATGGAGGAAGAACTTCATCTCCCTGATCAATAAATATTGTCCTTCTGGGTGGCATGTTTGTAGACCTGGATGTCCTCACAAAGACCTTCATCTCCCTGACTAACAAATTGTCCTTCTGGGTGGCATGGGTGTAGACCTGGCTGTCCTCACGAAGACCTTCATCTCCCTGACCAATACAAATTGTCCTTCTGGGTGGAATGGGTGTAGACATGGCTGTCCTCACGAAGACCTTCATCTCCCTGACTAATACAAATTGTCCTTCTGGGTGGCATGGGTGTAGACCTGGCTGTCCTCACGAAGACCTTCATCTCCCTGACCAATACAAATTTGTCCTTCTGGGTGGCATGTTTGTAGACCTGGCTATCTTCACGAAGACCTTCATCTCCCTGATCAATACAAAGTATCCTCCTGGGTGGCATGGGTGTAGACCTGGCTGTCCTCACAAAGACCTTCATCTCCCTGACTAATACAAATTGTCCTTCTGGGTGGCATGGGTGTAGACCTGGCTATCCTCACGAAGACCTTCATCTCCCTGACTAATACAAATTGTCCTTCTGGGTGGCATGGGTGTAGACCTGGCTATCCTCACGAAGACCTTCATCTCCCTGACTAATACAAATTGTCCTTCTGGGTGGCATGGGTATAGACCTGGCTATCCTTATGAAGACCTTCATCTCCCTGACCAATACAAATTGTCCTTCTGGGTGGAATGGGTGTAGACCTGGCTGTCCTCACAAAGACCTTCATCTCCCTGATCAATACAAAGTATCCTCCTGGGTGGCATGGGGTGTAGACCTGGCTGTCCTCACGAAGACCTTTTATCTCCCTGACCAATAAACATTGTCCTCCTGGGTGGCATGGGTGTAGACCTGCCTGTAGTCACCACAGACTTGCCTCCTCAATACGGGGGAGATGGCTTTGTGTTGATGTGCAGGATTTGATAGTAGATGGATTTTTAATATTTCCAAAAACATTTTTGAGACTGTGTTTTTTTTGGTAGATGAACTAGTTTTAATAGATGGAAAGGTTGTGGTACATAGAAAGATTTGGTAGTCAGATGAGTTTTTCTAGATGGATGAGTTTGTTTATGGACAGATTTTTGTGGATGGATGAGGTTTGGTAGTTGGGTGAGTTTTGATAAATGAACATATGTTTGTGGATAGACGAGGTTTGTTGGTTGAGTGGGTTTTTGTAGGTGGATAGAGTTTTGGCTGTCAGGTGGGACTTTGTAGGTGGACAGAGTTTTGGTTGTCAGGTGGGACTTTGTAGGTGGACAGAGTTTTGGTTGTCGGGTGGAACTTTGTAGGTGGACAGAGTTTTGGTTGTCGGGTGGGACTTTGTAGGTGGACAGAGTTTTGGTTGTCGGGTGGGACTTTGTAGGTGGACAGAGTTTTGGTTGTCGGGTGGGACTTTGTAGGTGGACAGAGTTTTGGTTGTCGGGTGGGACTTTGTAGGTGGACAGAGTTTTGGTTGTCGGGTGGGACTTTGTAGGTGGACAGAGTTGTAAGGGACCGCCTGGCGGTACCACTAGCACTCCACTGAATAGGCGTCCCCAGTGCACAGAATCTAAGTCCCAGGGTGCTTGTTCACAGGGCCCCTGATGGTGGGGATGGACTTGGAGCCCCCGAGACCAGGTCGTGGCTACTGGGTGAGTCCGTCAGTGGTAGTGGTATGCGCCAAGGGCTCCCACGGGGAAGAGTCTGATATGAGGAGGTCAGAAGACCCCACTGCAAGGGATGGATGGATGAGCAAGGTCAGACGGGCCGGGTCGGTAAACAGAGGACGGCAAGGTACAAGGCAGCCGGCATAGAATGGTCGGGTCACACGCCAGGTCAGCAACAGCAGGTCAAATCCAATAGGGGGCATTCAGGAGAGAGGTCAGGCAAAGCAAGAGTCAGAATAGGAGAAAGCAGCAAGGTCAGGTACAATCCGGGTCAAAAACTTACAGGGTACAGGATGCAGGGAAGACCAGAAGGCACTGAATGACAGCTCAGGGCCATTTAAATATACTGCCCTGCGCTGCCATTGGTGCCCAGCGGGTGGCCGCGGCTTCTACTGCGCATGCGCGAACTCGAACGCCGCGGCCGGCCCGGACCTAGTGCCCGTGTCCCTGCACAGGGCGGTGCACTGCGCCTGCGCCGGGACAGTTTTAGATGGATAGATTTTCGTAGATGGACTAATATTGGTTGTCAGATGGGCTGCGGTAGTTGGATGGCTTTGGTGATCAGATGGGTTTCGATGGTGGAAGATTGTGGTAGATGGGACTGCTTTTAATAGTCAGACAGGTTTTAGTAGTTGGTTTGATTTTGGTGGTCATATGGATCCTTGAAATTGGGTGGGTTTTGGTAGATGGACTCAGATTAGTAGATGGACAGATTTTTGTGGATGGATGAGTTTTGATTGATGGATTTTGGTGGTCAGATTTGGTTTTGGTATTTGGATGATTTTGACAGATGGACAGGTTTTGGTAGTCAGTCTGGTTTTGGTAGATGGCTGGAACTTGGGAGGTGGACTAGTTTTGGTGCATGGACATGTTTTGGTAGATGGACTGATTTTGCTAGATGAGTTGATTTTGGTGGCCATATGGATTCTTGACGTTGGGTGGGTTTCTATAGATAGACAGATGTTTGTGGATGGATGAGTTTGGATGGATGATTTTGGTTGTCAGATTGGTTTTGGTAGTTGGAACTAATTTTGACAGATGGGTAGGGTTTGGTAGATAGACTGATTTTGGAAGACGGACGTTGATGGCCAGATGGGTTTGGTAAGTGGATGGGTTCTGGTAGATGGACTATTTTTGTAGACAGGTTTTGGTAATTGGACCCATTTTGGAAGACTGACTGATTTTGGTAGTCCAATAGGTTTCATTATTTGGATGGGCTCTGGTAGTTGGAGGAGTTTTCTAGATTACTGATCAGTTATATCTCCTTTTTACATCCAGACCAGGATAGGGGAGATGGCGAGTCTGCGTGTCCCTGTGAGACTCCGTGTAAGATGGTCCGCTATGGTAAGGAGTTATCTATGGTGAAGATCCCCAGTAAAGCCTCCTCCGTATATCTGGCAAAAAAATACAACAAGACCGAACAGTACATTGCGTGAGTTTCTTTTCACTTCATTCAGACTATGACCGGATCAGACGGGTCCTTAATGTTCTGACATACAAGAGATGTACACTCAAAGATGGCCCCAGACATAGAGGTGCATCTGGATGTCAGCTGTAGATCTTCCTCCAATCCCATATGAATAATGTTAGATACTTCTCTCTTCACTGAGATGGGAGAACAATGGTCAGTTGTGTGAAATGTCCCAGCCTTGTTTAGGGACGGCTCTTCATCAAAGCCATCACACAAGTGGCCTCTGTCTGGGGATTTCCCAAATAACTGGAATTCACAGACAGAATTAGGACCTGGAAATCCTTGAAGGACAATTAAAATGACTTCATCTCTCTATGTGCCAGTCCTAGAATGCCCCACATACTGGACTGTCTACCAGTCCCACCAGACTCTCTCCCTTATATACAAAAATGTCCATTAGGGAGGAGATTTGGATTGGGTCAGGCATGGGTTTGAGGACCACTCACGGTCCACTGAACTAATGTGAACTTTTTACCGACCCAAAATCTCGGCTGCTGTATATTGAGGAATTTTGTGTTTGGAAATGCATGCCTCTGTTTTCCACCTAACATGATGAAACCGTTTTACTTTTAATGGGAATTGGCTTACCATCCATTCAGCCAACAATCTCATGTCTGTGGGGCAGTCATATGGGGCTCATTGGGGGGGTGGCCTTTGTACAGATCAGAACAATTTGACCAATCACTATTTGTTTCAAGTGAGGGATGAACAGATGCCTGAGATTGGTTGGACCTTGTCTGAGCGTCCAATTGCCCACAAACAGATGACTGAGGTTGGTTGGATCTTGTCTGAGATCCAGCTGCCCACATACAGATGACTGAGGTTGGTTGGATCTTGTCTGAGCGTCCAATTGCCCACAAACAGATGACTGAGGTTGGTTGGATCTTGTCTGAGCATCCAGCTGTCCACATACAGATGACTGAGGTTGGTTGGACCTTGTCTGAGCGTCCAGCTGTCCACAAACAGATGACTGAGGTTGGTTGGATCTTGTCTGAGCATCAAGCTGCCCACATACAGATGACTGAGGTTGGTTGGATCTTGTCTGAGCATCAAGCTGCCCACATACAGATGACTGAGGTTGGTTGGACCTTGTCTGAGCGTCCAGCTGTCCACAAACAGATGACTGAGGTTGGTTGAATCTGACAAGGCACTGACAGCTATCTGTAGGTTCAGCAGATTGTCCCTCTTGTCTTCAGGGAGAACGTTCTCGTTTTGGATATTTTCTTTGAAGCTCTGAACTTTGAAACGATTGAACAAAAGAAGGCGTATGAGCTGGCTGGACTGCTGGGTAAGAGTTCTCCTTTTAAACAGGAATATTTCAACCCTTGTATAAATGTGATCTATTGGGTATGTGTGGGGTAGTGATCTTCCCAGAGCATAGTTATGTCATCTCATCTCACAATCTGTCCTGGATCCTGTATACGATATACAACACGCCAAATCCATTTGTATTGGGAAATAGGACGGAACTGTGCAGTTGGAGAGATTGTTTGTTTGTGACACAACTTGGGAAGGGTGGGGGTTCGCACATCAGGCTTCTCAGGGACACATTGGGCTCATCAGGGACACCTCAAGCTCATAGGCAGACATTGGACACCTCAAGCTCATAGGCAGACATTTGGACACCTCAAGCTCATAGGCATTGGACATTGGACACCTCAAGCTCATAGGCATTGGGACATTGGAACCTCAAGCTCATAGGCAGACATTGGACACCTCAAGCTCAATATAGGCAGACATTGGACACCTCAAGCTCATAGGCATTGGGCTCCTCGGGGACATTGGACATTGGGCTCCTCAAGCTCATAGGCAGACATTGGGCTCCTCGGGGACAACTCAAGCTCATAGGAACACATTGGGTTCCTCGGGGACAACTCAAGCTCATAGGAACACATTGGGTTCCTAGAGACATATTAGGCTCCTAGGAACACATTGAACTCCTAGGGACACATCACTCTTTCAGGGAGATGCTGGACCCCTAAGGAAACATTGGGCAAAATTGTGTAGTCCTTTTTGGGCCACAGAATGATGTGGTTGTCGTTTGCCAGGTGACATTGGAGGTCAGATGGGTCTATTCATCGGGGCCAGTATCCTCACCATCCTGGAGATCTTCGATTATCTGTATGAGGTGAGAAATATGACAGAACAAAGACCCGACATTCCGGGACAAACCTAGGGTACGTATTGCCTCATCTATCCGTATATTCTCCCAGGTGTTACGGGATAAAGCGCTCGGCTATCTCCAGAAGAGGAAGAAGTCCCAGAACAGGGAACTTGACAATCTGGTAATCACACAAGACGTTTGTAGTGAGAAGAGAGAGACGGGCAGAGACGGTGATGAATTATTAGAGTGTCAGCTGTGTGCAAATCTCATGTCCGGATACATATATATGTCATAGTAGACTGTCCCTCATACGGTTCTGTTCAGCCGTCTTGTGATCTGAACCTCTTTTCTAGACAGGACAACTAAATGACTGACCTCACTTTCCTCTACTGGAGGTATTTAATGTAGACTGGTAAGCAGCTGATCCTGTATGGATTGCATAGTGTGGTCCATGGAGTCTGCTGAGAGGTGTGAGGAGCAAGGTTCCTCACACGCTGTTGGTGTTTATGGTGTTTATCAGCCTCTACTTGTGTCTGCATGGGCGGAATATTACACTTTGGAGTTCTCACAATAATTGCCCGTCATAATGGTTGATTTCTGAGGATGATCCTCCTATTTCCTCCCGAAAAAACAACCCCATATTAGCTTGGTGGGCTGTACCTCATACTCTCTGGACAACGGCCTCCAACATGCTCATTACAATTGCAGACAACCCCCATCCCAGATCTCCCCCGGGTGTAGGCCCGGCTCCGGATGCCACATCATAGCGAAGTCTGACCATTTCCAGGCTGTGGTCTCTCAGCTTGATGTAACCGAAAAACGAGCTAAAGGCTCAAATTGGGGTCATCGGTTCCCATAAGCTGCAGGGATGCTTTCAGAGACAACCGTCCCTTTGCACTTTTGCCTACCAGAAGGGTCCCACGGTTCCATGCAGTAAGCTGGAGCACCACTGTTGGGCTTCCACGCCATGGTACATTCTTCTCCTCCTTCCCTAGCAGTGCACTGGGTCCTCATATTGTCAGCCGTACTGATCTCTCATAGCCTGCAGCGATCAATCTCCAAGCATTCCTCCAATATAGAAAATGAAAAACAAGAAAGGGGACAACTGTTTTCAAAAATGGCTCTTTAAAAAAAAAAAAAAAAAAACCTGGCCTGAGAAGTTTTTTTTGATGACTGGTTCCTCCTCATGTGGAACTCTAACCTATAATAGGAGGTTCAGTGACTTAATCCAGGCAATACTGCCACCAAAGCATGGACAGGGGTTACTTAGAGAGTAGAGGGACAGGCAATGCGTGAGATATTGTATTCCATCTCCCGTCATCCAACTCAACCAGCATGCTGGCAAATTATCAGAAGAACTCCAAGTTCCATACCAACCATGAACAACACAGCAGTCACTGAAGAACCTCTGTAGATATGTGTTCATCAGAGCAGTTCCGAACCATGGAGCCTTGGCCTGCTGCACATCCCCCAACCTCCCATAGTGTAATGCAGTCCCCCTCAACCCTCCACAGTACTCTCCAACCTCCCACAGTGCCCTCTGGCCTACTGCAGGGCCTCCAGCTCCCCATAGTACCTACAAAAATGTCCCCGAGTGTGCCCCAGCCCTCAGCAGTTTGCCAGTCAGTCTCTGCAAAGTCTCCAGCCTCTTGACTGGTCCCCCCATCTCCAAAAAGCTCCATCCAGAAACCTCATCCCCTACAGGCCTACCACGTCTTCCACAGAGTCCCCTAACCCCCACCAGGACCCCCATCCCCCACAGTGACTCTCAATCAGTATACATTTTGCATGCTTGTACTTTTTGAGTGTGGACTTTATTCTGTACGGTTGGGGCATGGAAGGTTTTGGAGGGATGTCCCAGGGGCTGGTCTCAATAAGGACGACAACCATGGCTTTAGAGCAATCAAAACCTGACTTATTCATTTTGATATTGAATACCCCGAGGTGGGGTGCAGCACGAAGAAACGGTTCCAGAAAGGGGCAAACCGTGAGACCTACAGCCAGCAAACAGTGAAGGATAAAAGATAACAGAAAAATGACGACTTGGACCCATGGCCCATCCCCCATGTTGATGGGACACCCCCCCAGATATGATGTTGAGCTCCATCGTTGTACCCCACAGATTGCTCCAACCAGCTCAGACTATGGATGGGAGGGGTAGGGCACTGCTTATCACCTCATTGGCTCGGGTAGGATTTTCATAATCCTCGAACCCTGAGAGCGATGGTCTAGGCTACATAGAATTTATTGCTGACACAGTCCACCTACCAGAACCAGCGCACCATAAAAAGACCCCAACATTACCAACTCCCCCAGATTTTACCGGCATGTTTGGTGTCTAAGGACTCGGCTGGTGGTTTTCTGACTGGGCACCTCATGGGACGGGACAGGGTGGATATTGTGACCACACCTGGTCAGTGGTATTGGGGTGCTGATACGTCGGAAAGTGTCCATCAAGGAGCACACCAGATCTAAACCTCCCCCCTCTTTGAGAACATAGAGAAGGAACATATGGCCTCCCCCCAGGCACCGTACTAATAGAATGTCCTCATCATTCGAGATGATCTTCTCTCTGGATGAGCGAAAATATGACCTGATTGGCTCAGAGGATGCCCCTCCCTCCAGCTTGGAGATTCATCGTATGGGTGTCTATAGATGTGTGACATTCAGGAATGGCCAGAGTCCTTGTCAGAGCCCCATTAAAGGAGATCTCCCTTCACTTCCTGTCCTGGTCTGATCACAGGAAGTGAGAAGAAACATCCCTCTTAGTCAGGTGTCCCCATTGGAGGGTTTTCCATCACTTCCTGTCTCGGTGACACTAGAACAGAGTTGGGTAACAGAAATCTAAACCTGACAGAGGTCCTAACCCCCAACACACTCCATTCAAAACCGAAACATTGGCTGAATACAGAGCTGGATGATATGGAGTTTGTCTGATATCTGGAGGTCACCTTAGACAATCATTTGTGTGGGAAGAGGAGATCGGCTCAGGAACTCAGTATGACATTGGCAACGTGAGCGATCCCTAACAGGTGGACCTGTGTGTTGGGGGTGGAATCCTTGTGTTGTGTGCTGGGGGTGTTATGAAGTCCATAGCCCCCCGGTACCTGGTGCCTCTCTCTCATCTCACCTCTCTTTGTCTTTCAGGGGAGCCCCGATGTCTTGTCCAGCCCCACCCTGGGGCACATTCATAACCCCAGGTAGTTACTGCGGGGGTGTAGAAGTGATGGATATGGGTGGAGGGTTCCCGTCATGTACTATCCTCCTCACTGACTGGGGTCTCAGCCTCGACTCCCAATGAAAATCTCCTTCCAGGGTTAGGGCCCGGACTGGCAGTGTCAGTGTTGGTTCTGGGTCTTCTGAGTGGTGGATTCTAATGGAACTAATTCCCTGGATCTCTATGCTCAGCATGTACTTACCTCTATGGTACCTACAGTGCTGGCCACTAGAGGGTAGACATGGAATCCCACCACTTACCTTGGTCCTTTATGGTTAGAACCTGGCAAGACTTAGGTGACTGTGCCATCCAGGTTCCTCATCTGCTCTTCATCACGTGGTGTAGAGTATTGTAAGACTGAGTCAGAAGATCCACCTTGGAGGTACGGACCCTCCAACCAGATCCACCCTGGAGGTACGGACCCTCCAGCCAGATCCACCCTGGAGGTACGGACCCTCCAGATCCAGAGGTAGGGACCCTCCAGCCAGATCCACCCTGGAGGTACGGACCCTCCAGCCAGATCCACCCTGGAGGTAGGGACCCTCCAGCCAGATCCACCCTGGAGGTAGGGACCCTCCAGCCAGATCCACCCTGGAGGTAGGGACCCTCCAGCCAGATCCACCCTGGAGGTAGGGACCCTCCAGCCAGATCCACCCTGGAGGTAGGGACCCTCCAGCCAGATCCACCCTGGAGGTAGGGACCCTCCAGCCAGATCCACCCTGGAGGTAGGGAGCCTCCAGCCAGATCCACCCTGGAGGTAGGGACCCTCCAGCCAGATCCACCCCAGACGTACTGACCCTTTTAGGAGCCTGTATGAGCCAGGTTCCTCACCTACTCTCTATCATGTGGTGCTGAGTTCTGTGCGATCAAGCCAGAAGATCTACCCCAGATGTACTGACCCTCCTGTCAGATCCATTCTAGAGATCCTGACCTTCCAGTCCGATCCGACTCGGAGGTCCTGGCCCTTCAGTGACATCCACCCTGGAGGTCCTGCCCCTCCAGTCAGATCCGCTCTAGCTTTGGGCTTCCCATTTGATGATCATTACAGAGGAATCAGTTTGATCCTTTGGGCCCCATACATGGGATGAGGGCAGATCCTGGGTTCTGGGTAGACCGTGACCTCTCCTAGAAGATGGTGATTGGGGGAAACAGATTAGGGTGTTGGGATGTCCTTCTGTGCTCACCTTTACCCCCCCCTCATCCCCTTCTCTCCCCCCCCCCCCTTCCTTCACCTCTCCACCCTTCCAGTCTCACCTTCTCTTGTTTCTCTCTGTAGGATCCACGCTATACACTGCGGGGCAGCCCATACTGCACTCGATGCTCACCGCACCTCTTACCTCGTCACCCGCCTGTAGGGTCCATCAAGGAGTTTGCCTGCTGACACCTACGACCCGCCTCCATATATATCTGATCTCTTCTGATTGGGTGCCGAGGAAACTTCCGGAACATCTACAGGGCTGGGGGGGGGGGGGGGGGGGGAGGGCTTAGCGCATCCTGTTCTGCATTGTTCTTTATTATAATAAATTCTAAGCCAATCATTCCACACGAATCTCTCGTTTCATAGCCACCCGAGAAACCAAAACGTTCAAAACCCTTCAATCCTCCAACATGGTTCAGTTCTTCCATTCATGGCGGTGCACTCTCACATGTGGGCGTTATCCTGGGTGCATGCAAATGTAGCCTGCCTGGGACTGCCCACTCCTCCAGCCTGACTCCACCCATCAAGACATTTTGATATTTGCATAACTCCTCCCACTGCTTGCATCAGGACTGATGGTTCCTGAGAGGAGTACTGAGGCAGGATGCTGTCATGTTGCATAGAGAAACGCATTGGGAAACGCAGTGATGATGACATCAATGAATATAAAATAAGGTATATAATGAAAATGGAAAAGCTTTATTTAAAAATGTTTTTTTATTATAATGTTGATGAGAGGGTAGGGGGGAACCAGGGAAAGAAAAATAAAAGCAGATTAAACTTAAACACACAGAGATGGGCGTGAACATTCTCCAACACTCAGCCAATCGCTGTAAGGAACTGATGAGATCACTGAGGTACCATCTGCCTCACACCGTTTGAGTTCTTCCTGAGAGCAGTCTACAGGCCTGGGGTAGAAGAACATTCTCCCATCTGTGCCAGGAGAACAGCGCCCCCCCTCCCATGTTTTCTCTCAGATGTGCACTCCAGTGTTTCCCTACAACATTCTCTTTGATGTCCCCTCTGATGTCCTTTCCAGTGTGCTCTCCAGTGTTTCCTTTGATGTCCTCTCCGAGGTTCCCTCCGATGTCCTATTTGAAATCCCCTCTGATGTCCTCTACAAAGTCCCCTTGGATGTTCCCTCCAGTGTCTCCTCAGAAATCTCCTCTGATATACTCTGCAATGTTCCCTCCATTGCCCCCTCTGATGTTCTCTTTGATGTCCCCTCTGATGTCCTTTCCAGTGTGCTCTTCAGTGTTTCCTTTGATGTCCTCTCTGAGGTTCCCTCCGATGTCCTCTCCGAAATCCCTCCGATGTCCTCTCTGAAATCCACTCTGATGTCCTCTACAAAGTCCCCTTGGATGTTCCCTCCAGTGTCTCCTCGGAAATCCCCTCTGATGTACTTTGCGATGTTCCCTCTGATGTCCTTTCCAGTGTGCTCTTCAGTGTTTCCTTTGATGTCCTCTCTGAGGTTCCCTCAGATGTCCTCTCCGAAATCCCCTCTGATGTCCTCTCTCCGAAATCCCCTCTGATGTTCTCTCCAATGTATCCTCTGATGTCCCCTTGGATGTTTCTTCCAGAGTCTCCTCGGAAATCTCCTCTGATGTACTCTGCGATGTTCCCTCCAATGTCACCTCTATTTTACTCTCCTCTGTTCCCTCCATTGTCCTCTCTGATGTTCTCTTTAAAGTCCCCTCTGATGTCTCCTTCAATTTCCTCTCTAATGTCCCCTCTCTGATACACTCTCCAATATTACCTCTGATATTCTTTTCAATGTTCCCACCTATGTCCCCCCCCCCCTCTGATATCCTCCCTGATGCCCCCCTCTGATGTTTTCTCCAATGTTCTCCCTAATGGTCTCCCCTCTAATGCACACTCTGAAGTCCCCTTGGATGTTCCCTCCAATTTTCCCTCCAATGTCCTCTCCAAAATCCCCTTGGATGTTCCCTCTGATGTCCTCTCTGATCTCCCCTCCAAAGTCCCTTCTGATCTCCTCTCTGAATTCCCCTCTTATGTTCCCTCTGAAGTACTATCTGATGTTCCCTTCAATGTGCTCTCTGAAGTCCCCTGTGATCTCCTCTCCAAAGTTCCCTCCGATGTATCCTCTGATGTCCTCTACAACGTCCCTTTGGATATTCCATAAATTTTCCCTCTGCTACCCTCTCTTAACTCCCCTTTGATGTTCCCTCTGATGTCTCATCTGATCTCCCTTCCAAAGTCCCCTCTGATCTCTGAAGTCCCCTCTAAAGTTCCCTCCGATGTATCCTCTGATGTCTTCTACAAAGTCCCCTTTAATGTTCCCTCCAATGTCCTCTCTGACATACTCTCTGATGTTCCCTCTGATGTCCTCTCTGAAGTCCCTTACAATGTTACCTCTGATGTACTCTCCGATGTTCCCTCCATTGTCCTCTCTGACGTCCCCTCTGATGTCTCCTCAGATTTCCTCTTCGATGTCCTTTCTCTGATATACTCTCTAATCTTGCCTCTGATGTTCTTTTCAATGTTCCCACCTATGTCCCCCCCCTCTGATAGCCTCTCTGATGCCCCCCTCTCATGTTTTCTCTAATGTTCTCCCCACTGATGCATGCTACAATGTACAGTACTCTCTGAAGTCCCATTGGATGTTCTCTCCGATTATATCTGATGTCCTCTCCGAACTCCCCTTGGATGTTCCTTCTGATGTCCTCTGATCTCCCCTCCAAAGCCCACTCTGATCTCCTCTCTGATGTTCCCTGCCATGTCCTCTCTGATGTACTCTCCAATGTTCCGTCTGATGTCGTCTGAAGTCCCCTCCAATATTACCTCTGATGTACTCTGTGATGTCTCCTCCAATTTCCTCTCCGATGTCCCCTTTCTGATATACTCTCCAATATTCCCTCTGATGTTCTTTTGGATGTGCCCACCCCATATCCCCCTGACTTCCTCTATGATGCCTCCCTCTGATGTTTTCTCCAATGTTCTCCCAATGTCTCCCCTCTGATGCACATTCCGATGTCCACTCCAATGTCTGCTCTGATGTCCCCTCCAATGTCTGCTCTGATATCCCCTCCAATGTCTGCTCTGATGTCCCCTCCAATGTCTGCTCTGATGTCCCCTCCAATGTCTCTCTGATGTCCCCTCCCCAATGTCTCCTCTCTGATGCACATTTGTCCCCTCCAATGTTCTGATGTCCCCCCAATGTCTGCTCTGATGTCCCCTCCCTGCTCTGATGTCCCCTCCATGTCTCTCGATGTTTTCTCCCCTCCAATGTCTCCCCTCTGATGCACATTCCGATGTCCCCTCCAATGTCTGCTCTGATGTCCCCTCCAATGTCTGCTCTGATGTCCCCTCCAATGTCTCTCTGATGTTTTCTCCAATGTTCTCCCCAATGTCTCCCCTCTGATGCACATTCCGATGTCCCCTGCCAATGTCTGCTCTGATGTCCCCTCCAATGTCTGCTCTGATGTCCCCTCCAATGTCTGCTCTGATGTCTGCTCTGATGTCCCCTCCAAGCCATCTAGGAGAATTAAATTCTTACTGTATGACTGAGATCAGTACAAGTACGATACCCGGCTCCTCCATGTACATGTAGAACGTGTATAGAGTATGTCAGAACATGAACACGTAGAGGTGGCCAATAATTCCAATCAAGGCAAAGGTTTTATACTCCTAGCCCACAGTATCCAGGAAAGGAGGATCCATGATGAGAAAAAAAGGTTTCGTGGTCAGATGACCAATCTCGCAGGGAGACAACAATGGGATGTTAGAGTCCTCATAGCACAATTCTTTTCTTTGAAGCTCTGCGGTGTAGTGAAACCCATTCAAAAAACATATTTCCGGTGCATACAAAAAGTGAGCACACAAAAATATGCAGAAGGTGTACACATGGTCCTCTTCCGAGAGGAAAGGACCCCCTAGCCCTGATCCCCCAAGGTGCAAGGCTCCTGATGGGAACTGGGGTACTCATGGTCCAGCTGGCCAAAACCAGGCAGACCTCTTTTTTTTGGGAGGCCACCCAAAGCAAGGCCAATCAAAGTACTAGGTGGGGCTCCTCCAATGGGAGACCTTGACCAGGAGGCCATGTGCCCCTCCACCAAGACTTTCAAGGCAAGTCCGAGAATCTAGTCTAGTAATACCAGCAATTGAGAAAGTGCAAGTGACCCAGTCCACATGAAAAAGATGAGGGGGAAGCGGATAAGTGCAACCAAAAGGGCAATGTGCTAGACAATGGTGGGGCTGTTGTCTGGAATAAAAAAAGTTCCTCTATTCCGAGCCAAAAAGCCCAGCCCTGAAGGCAAGTGAGAACCAGCCTTCTTCCTCCCGAAAACTGATAAGAACAGATACTACACTTGATCTTATAATATCCCAGCAGACCATTACATGACCCGAGACACGTAGAAAAACTCAACCCTACATTGATGTGAGACGAATTGAAGGTGGAAATGGGGTGAGTGAGAGACACCCATACAGAGGTAGGCAGGGATGAGGGTATACTGTAACCACAGATGGTACACATGAACACCAGAAAATCAAAAAAAAAAACCAGGAACCCATCAATCCAAACACATGAAGATGTTACTGAGGTCCACTCAAATCTCACATCTATCCACTCCTACATGTATGTTACAGGTCTGACACAGGAAAACTTTGCAAACCTACCTAAGCTTGATCCAAAAACTTGGTCTTAGGAATCTGCCTTGGACCAGTGCGGCATCCTCAGCCAAGGGGCCTAGGGACCTGAGTCTTAGTCACAGTGCTAAGAACATTCACATGACTAGGAACAGGAACAAGGACCTGAGGGAACCTCTTCAACAGGCTGCAGATCAACCACAGAATGGAGACCTATTTCCTGGTGATCAGGTCCCATGAAGACCTCTGGACTCCACTGGGGGTATTGGCAGCAGGGTCCTAGTGCAGACTGCTGGCTGATAGTCCAGGGAAGCAGAGGTTTGTCCAGCCATGGATACTTCTTTCATGAGGTGAGCACCACCCAGGAACCCTCACACATGTCCACCTTATCATTCCATACAAGGGACATTCATCCAACATACGTCCATCTTATCATTCCATACAAGGAACATTCATCCAACACGCGTCCATCTTATCATTCCATTCAAGGAACATTCATCCAACATGTGTCCATCATATCATTCCATACAAGGAACATTCATCCAACACGTGTCCATCTTATCATTCCATACAAG